TTTTAAACTTATCTATTCAATGATTCCTACAAATTTATTTTTAACTTATAGATATTAAATTCTGCTCTTACGTTCATTATAAATTATGATTTTTATTAACTAAATGAAAGAATTAAGAAATGCCTGATCTATAATTATAAATGATCGTTTCTATACTATTTCGCAATGCTGTAGGCTATGTAAATACTATACCTGCAGAAGATGCAGCACATCCCATCGTTAAGATTCCATTTCACACTGACCCCATGACTGTCTTAACCATTGGTTTAAATCTAGAATTTCGACTCTCTCTTTCATCTGTGATCAGGACAATGTGACAGCCGTGACATTACACAGAATGAGGTCGATATGAAGTAAACAGTGACCAAATGAATAACCTTTCCTACCAAATCAATTAGTGTATATATATTGGCGACTGGTGTGTATGAAGGGCGATAACTCTGTCATCTCTATGGTTTTGTGCAAAGCAACGATCCACTTCTCGCTTCAAACAAATATATAAAATGAAAATAAAAATTGCATTAAACACACCCAAACATAATAGACTATATGTTGTTTATATTTTTTCAGAAGAATGGAATGTACAAGGCCGTAACTACCATTGAGGCAAGTGAGGCAAATGCCTCACTAACATTTTAGAGCATTGTTAAAATTGAAAAAAAGATTTATTTTTAACTTTAATTAATTATGTTTGTCTTAGTACTAAAATAATACTTTCAATTTTTGTTTCAATTTCTGTAAACCTGTAAATCTTCTGACAATTAAGGTGTGTTTAGAACGCAAGTAAAAAAATAATATTCAAAACTTTAGTTTTAATTCGTTTGTCTGTTTTACGTCCGTTCCAAGATTTTTTCCCTCTTATTGAGATGCCACCACTTGGCAGTATAGGGCTGCAAATTTTAGAGTTATACTCAATATCAATATAATACTGCAACATGGGACCTCGGTATCTTCCGAAGGACAAGTCTTCACACCCCGCAGTGTTCATTCGAACCTTCAACGTAAGGATCAATATTCCTCTGAACCAAACGCTCTAGATAGCCACTACTGAACGCGAACTATAATTTTGGGAAATCCCGTGTCCCCAGAGAACCCCCTCAGAAACTCCTATGGACTTGAGACTCGGGTGGCCCCCAGTTCCATTGCCTCACTAAAACTTTGAGTCTAGTTACGGCCTTGATGTATGGTGCTGTATAAAAAAAAAAAACAAAAACCATTATTTGGAAAGGTAATCTTGCAGCTTGTAAATTCTTTCCGATACAAATTCAAGAATTGCAAGAAATTTAAGAAATTCTAAAACCTTCATATATTTTTCAAATATCTATGCATTTTGTGGGAAGTGATATCAATTCAAGGCCGTAACTAGGCTCAAAATTTTAGTAAGGCAAGGGTTCTGGGCACTCCTAGTCCCAGACGGGGCAAGGGTAGTACCTGATGACCAGTGATGGGGGTTTACAGGCGTGGGGAATTCTGAAACATGGGTATTAGAAAATAAAAGATTTAATTTTAGAAGTTTTTTTTTACGTTTTGAACTGTCGCCCGCATGACACAGTGGTTGGGTGTATGCTCTAGAATTGCAGACTCAGGAGTTGATCCTTACATCATGGGTTCGATTTCCACTGCAAGATGTGGAAAGTGGTCCTTTGGATTAGACCGTAAAAACGATGTCCTGCACAAAAAAATCTCTCACTGTTCAATCATCTTCAGTGACCCTGAAAGCCCTATACAGATTTAACGGCAAGTAGTAGTGTCTCAATATGAATGAAAAATTCTTAGAAGGGATGTTAAACAATTAAACAATTTGCAAAACAAATACTTTGAATCATATTTCACAATGATGCGTTCTAAATGAAAACTAGAGGTACTGTGAGCAGTGAGCTCACTAAATGATACCCCCGCCTCCCATATGGTTATAATGGCAAAGTCCAAGATTTGCTGTGGCCGGGAAACCCAAAATATGTGTCGGATCAAAAAATAAAATAGAAAGTGCACAATGGCAATATGTAAAAAAGATTCTGTGAAAGTTTCATTAAATTTCACTCAGTGGTATAAGAGGAGTTGTGGTTAAAAGATGGGTACCCCAAAGCATAACAGACAGAAGGAAGGACGGACGGAAATACCGATTACAGTACACCCTCCCACTTCTCAAGCGGGGGTATATTGAGGCACCTGGTGAGATGAACGATTTAAAAATTGAAGCAAAAGTTGAAAATATTAATTGAGCATGAAGACACACATAATTCATACGTTCTATGTAAAACTTTTTTTCACTTTTCAGAAAACTCTTAAAATTTAGTGAGGCATTTGCCTCACTTGCCTCAGTGGTAGTTACGGCCTTGCAATTGCGGGGTGAATGTTGGGGATACGCCCCCTTCAGTTCCTATAAGGCCATTCAGGCATTAGTATATAATAACTAAACTAATTAAAATTTTTCAGCGAAAAATCCAACCCTAAATATTGCATATTACATTTCTAATCTTCCTTCCTCTTTTCCCTCCCAAATAATCAATTTAACAGAAAAATCTGTTAAACCCGTCTAGCAGCAATGAGAATGTTTCATTCTCGATCCGCATCTTCTCTAGAATGTAGAAAATTCCGATACGTTATATTGTTATTGCACCCTTAAAGCCGTTAGTCCGTCTGTCTAGCTGTCTTCCACACTTTTAAAAATCTTATTCGATTATTTTTTTTCTGTGCTCTCGATCAAATTCCTCTTATTAATTTCAAGAGATTTAGTATACCATCTATGCATGTATGTTTGATGGTGGTCAGGGGGTCCACAATTCGTTCACATGGCATCTCCTTCTTATGATCGAGGTACTATGAGTATAGTATATGAATGGTGCCCTGTGTGTATAAAATAATGTGCCTATATATTGTTTTGATACTTTAATACTTAAAAAAAAATGAACAGCAAAGGAAGAGAAAAGTACACTTTTCCAACAGCAATAAATAGTACATCTCTTTATGTATTTGCGGAATTATTAAATGCTCACAGAAATTTCTAATGGTTCTCAAAATCAAAAACCGATACACAGAATGACTTTTTATTTATGAAATTTCTATTTTTATAACCACGGCAACACCGTTCATCAAAATCAAAAACCGATATACAGAATTATGTATCTTAGTGTAGTCGTGTGCCAAGTTATATTGAAATCTGTTTCTTTCTATTTTTAGTCTGTAAACAGACCAAAAATTTTTTCAAAAAATCAGACAGACAGACGGACAGACAGACAGACAGACAGACGGACGGACGCTACTCCTCCTACAGTTTTGGTCTTATTAAATAATCAATGATTTCAATATAACTTGGCACACAAGTAGACTATTTCAATATAACACACAAGTAAGGTACATAATTCTGTGTATCGAATTTTTGATTTCGATGAACGATGTTGCCGTGGTTACTAAAAATAGAAATTTCTGTGAAATACTTTCAAAATGCTACTCCTCCTACAGTTTTGGTCTGATTTCAATATAACTTAGCACACAAGAAGACTACACTAAGATACATAATTCGTATATCGATTTTTTATTTCGATGAACGATGTTGCCTTTGTTTCTAAAGATAGAAATTTCTCTGAAATGCTTTCAAAATGCTACACCTCCTACAGTTTTGGTCTGATTTCAATATAACTTGGCACACAAGTAGACTACACTAAGGTACATAATTCTGTGTATCGATTTTTTATTTCGATGAACGGTGTTGCCTTTGTTTCTAAAGATAAAAATTTCTCTGAAATGCTTTCAAAATGCTACACCTCCTACAGTTTTGGTCTGATTTCAATATAACTTGGCACACAAGTAGACTACACTAAGATACACCATTCTGTATATCGATTTTTGATTTCGAGGAATGATGTTGCCATGGTTACTAAAATTGAAAATACTCTGAAAGTTTATTAATAGCTACTCCTACAGCTGTAGTTTTATTGCAGTATCTTGCCACAAAAAGAGCTCAATCAAGCATCATTATTCTATTTATTGCTGTTGTAAAGTTTTAAGTCCCAACTGCTATTTTTGTCTTCATTTGTTATAAGTACAAACCAGTAGAGCTTCAGTCTCGACAGAGACTTCTGGTTCAACTCGAAATTGAAATTACAGTAAAATACTGAATGCCTCTAAAAAGCATAAATAGGAGTTATGCAAAGGCGGATCCAGCCCCCCCCCCCCCCCCCCCCCCCGTTTTAAAATTTTTGTATATAAAACTTGTATGTCCAATATCCTAAAATCAAGGAAAAAACATTTCTTATTTGTAAGAAATTATCTGCTCTCAGGGGCTTCGCCCCCCGACCCCCCAAAAGGACATTGTCTTAGACCCATTGGGAGCTTTCTGTAAAGCCACAAAACCCCCTGCCTTCTACTGCGCCCCCCGTTACGAAATTTTCCTGACTTTCGTAAAATATCAAAATCGTGAAGAAGCCTGGTTTTTCGGCTTACCTCCAGTGCACCAATGTGCCTTCCTATTAGGGGAAGAGCATTTGATTTGGAGGTGGGGTTGCCAGTTTTGTGAATTAAGTATTCTGTCTTCGAAAATGTTGAAAATGAATAATCTATCCGCGAAAGGGAAGGAAATAGATAATCTGCTTCTGATCAGTGAGCTATTTCCCCTTCCGAATTAGATTTAAAAAAATTATTTATTTATTTTGGTTGTCAAACTTTTTTTCAGTGATGAAGAAAAATAAAAAAAATTTTCTTGATCTTGTTGGAAAGAAATATTCTGTCTTTCACCGACAGGAAATTAAAAAAAAAAATCTGACTCGAACCCCCCCCCCCCCTTCAGAATCAAATCGTCGTCCCCTTATTAATCGATTCAGCAAAAACAAATGGGTCAAATCTATAATGCTACAGCGCAGCTAACCGATCTTTTTAAAAGATAAGCTTGAAAGGGATTAAGTTTCAGTGAAAACCTCGATTCCACTAACATTAGCTGTTCCGGGCCGTCAGACATTTATCGGTTTATCCAAATCCGTGTTTATCGTATTTATAGCACCAACGGCATACCATACGTGCACGTTCAGTTTGTAAACATTGATCATCAAACTTTTGGACAGACTCTGTCACTCATGGATGGAAAATAGAAAGTATAAATTGTGGTATTGTACGATTAATTTTTTTTTAAATCTGTCAACAGAATAAGACATTTTTGTGTGTTTTTTTAACAGTGTTTAATTTATAGGCGCCCAGGCCTAGATCTATTGAAGGATTTCGTAATCAGAAATAGGCCTAGGCCTTCTAACTGTTCAGTCTAAGGCTTCTTTCCGTTTACCTAATAACGCTAATATGAACTGATGATATATACGTAATTAATCTTGATTGCTACATGATGATGATCTGCAAATTGAGATTTTTATTAAGAAGTTCTCCAGTCACTATAATAATCTGTTCCCATTGCATGGTTACACATGCATGTACACATATTTATATATAGATTGAGGTTAATATGTGGGACTCACTTTGACCATGTTGACATGTGCAATGGATATTTTTTTTTCACCTAAAATGTTTATAGCAGTTTAACTGTCAGTTGATACATGGTTTCAGTCTAGTGATTAGGCAGGTATAGAAACGAACAAAATCGACATCATATGTCTTATAATTTCTTACAATATTTTTTTTTTTACATATTTTAATGACCCCTAATAAATTTCTGTCTGAATGAAAAAAAATGTATGAGTAGTACAAATTAATTACTATTGAACTTTGAATTGCAGTTATATTATTGTTGCTTTAATAAATTCCCACATTACATGTCCTGACTCTGGCATGATCATGAGTATAATGATCAAGTAATTTCATATTATAAGTGCATGGTATTCTGGGTTACGCTGCACTTTAATGAGTATGTTCACATTGCTCAGTACATTTAATTTAAAAGGTATTAATTTTTAGATGAAATAATAAAAATGTAAATTAAAAATAGCTAGGTTACTGTCACTAACTCTGACCAAGGCCATTTTGCTGCATAGCTTTTGTTAAAACTAGTCTTTTAATAAAGTTTTATTGCATGGCTATGTTTACCAAACATATTGATATTCAAAGTACATAGAAAAGTGAATATGTAGAGGAGGAAATTGTTATATTTGTTTACTGTAATCACTAGCTGTCAAAGCTTTGTAGTGTGGAAGTTACATAATGTAGGTAACAGATAGACAAGATCCCATATGATTTAATGGCAGGGGAGACAGATTTTTTCAGTGTGAGACAGTGAGTGAGTGTGTCAAGGACTAAGGAGAGCAAAGACGGGGGAAATATTAAAATCTTGCCTTGTGATACCTTTGATTAAATTTAATTACATCCTAATGGTCTTTATATTAACAACTATAATATTTAGAATGAAACACAACATATCTTTTAACAGATATGTGCTAATTAAATCCACCTAGATGGCTCTCCAGATAAATGTATTGCTGATTTCCTTTCTCCTCTCGGTGTGTTGGGGTGCCCTACAGGACCAGAGGAACGTTCCTCAGTACCATGAGCTGATAAGACAGGGTCAGGTCAAGCTAACTCAGGGGGAGTCTGAACCCGATTTTATCCACAGATTCAATGGTACCACCATCTTACAGGTCAGAATGAAAAAATAAACCATATATTCTGTTGAATTAAATGTTTTTAAGACTCTGTTGCTCTTCAAACAAATTATGCGACTATATATGGCTAAATAGATTTATTCTCTTTGTGTCGTGAGAATTCTTTAACTTGGTGATTTTTATTTATTAAAGAAAATACTTACATTGGACTCAATGTATGACCAGGCTGTGCTCCTAGAGAAGGAATTTCTGACTGATCTTGGGTCTCGGATCAAAATGTCGGGGGGTTGTGGTGTTGGACTTCAGCTATTACTTGATGGTTTGAAGGAAAGAAGTCTCTGGTCTCTAAAAAGTAAAAACATGTTATCTTGCATATTTATAAGGAGTAATGTATAAGAAATGCATCTCAGTCTCTGAATAAATTTTATGTACTTAAAGAAACAACAAATATTACCAAATAACTTGGTCCTGCAAATTTTGCAGGAACATTTGAATTTTCTTTGACTATAAAGAAGAGTTATTGCCCTTCATTGCAGAATTAAACATATATATATATATATTTGCATTTATAATTTCTGTTTAACATGCTCAAGTTAGAGATATTGTATGTATTTTCAATTTTTCACCTCATCATTAACTTTGTATTTTAGTGCTTGATGCCATAGGAAAAGTTCCCAGTGGTATATTTGATGGTGATTTCATATGGCCCGGTCAGTATGATGAGTGTAATGCAATCAGTCAGGCATTCACAGATAGGATCACTTATAATGAGACTTTCCTGGTTCGAGGGAAATATTTTGTGGCAGGATTGTGGAATCCTTTGGTAAGCTAAGATTTCGCACAAGATTTTTTGAAATTGCAAAAAATTAGACAAACTTGATTCAATGTTTCCAAAGGGTGTTAACTATAGCTTCAGTTTGATTTTTATACCCCCGCTTGAAAAGTGGGAGGGTATATAGTAATCGTTATGTCCGTCCGTCCGTATGTACGTCCGTCTGTTACGCTTTGGGGTACCCATCTCTTATCCGCAACTCCTCTTATACTACTGAGTGAAATTTAATGAAACTTTCACAGAATCATTATTACATATTGCCATTGTGCACCTCCTATTTCACTGTTTTATTCGACACATATTTTAGGTTTCCCATAGCAAAACATGGACATTGCCATTATATTCTTACCTATGACGTCGTGCATATGGCGGCTTCTGAATAACATTTGATAAGGCGAGTTATTCCTCTTTACACGTTACCGTAAAACAATATATAGCAAAACATGGACATTATGGGAGGCAGGGGGTATCATTTAGTGAGCTCATTGCTCACAGTACCTCTAGTTTTCCATTGTAACTCCTCTCTATATGATGATTAGACATGTTTTAAAAATAGATAAAAGAAAACGGCTAGTATTTGTATAGTATGTTCCAAATATATCATTTTACTTATGAATATTATTTATGCATTAAAGCTTAAATCAATGCTTAGGCATATGGTAAGCTATGCTTTAAATAAATTGGTAATGGATTTGCAGTGACATTTGATTGTAGACATGAATGCTGTGGTCAGAGACTTGTAAAATACAAAATTAAATGACCATAAATGCTATTTCTTTTTTACAGGGATATAACACAACTGATCTAAGGATGGGAGTCTGCCTGCCTGATGCCTGTAATGCAGCTGATGTCAAACAAGTGATGGGATTAGGTCTGAACTTCAAATTTGATTAAGACTGAGACGACTAAATGTCTACCTGTTTTGACTTCAAAGTAAAGTTAAAGACAGTTCTAATAGTGTATTATACCCCCCGCTTGAAAAGGGGAGGGTATATAGTAATCGGTATGTCCGTTTGTCTGTTACTCTTTGGGGTACCCATCTCTTATCCGCAAATCCTCTCATACCACTGAATAAAATTCATTGAAACTTTCACAGAATCTTTATTTTATATTGCCATTGTGCACCTCCTATTTTACTTTTTGATCTGACACATATTTTTGAGTTTCCCACAACAAAAAAAAATATGGACCCTTCCATTATATTCAAATGGGAGGTGGGGTATCATTTAGTGAGCTCATTGCTCACAGTACCTCTAGTTACATGTTTGTCAATGTCTCTGATATTTGTTCAAGTCCACCAGGCCTAGGAAAACATAAACTTCTGGATGCAGATCTTTGGAAGGATGATTAAGCTCTATTTATTGTGTCCTTTATAATGGGGATGTTTTCAGTCTGTCTTTCAACTGTTTATAGCACTCATGCATGATAGTGCCAAACAATTCCATACCAAATGACCAAGCTAAATTTTGAATGCATCAATTTATGTACATGTACAGTATTTATGTGAAATATGGTGTCAACAAGAGAAAAAATCAGTAAATTGCTCTAGATTTCATTTACTGTTTCCCAACTTTCAAAAAGGGGTTCTTCCTATCAAGATTTTGTCATGGGAACACAAACATAGCCATTTTTTTTTCCAAGATGTACTTAATAGTATTATTTCAAGACTAGAGGTACTGTGAGCAATGAGATCACTAAATGATACCCCTGCCTCCCATATGAATATAATGGCAGTGTCCATGTTTTGCTGTGGGAAACCCAGAATATGTGTCGGATCAATTTGTAATAAAGATTCTGTGAAAGTTTCATCAAATTTCATTCAGTGGTATGAGAGGAGTTGCGGATGAGAGATGGGTACCCAGAATCATAATAGACAGACAGACGGACAGATGGACCGACGGAAATACCGATTACTATATACCATACATGTACCCCCAGCTTTTCAAGCTGGAGGGGGGGGGTATAATAAAGTTCAGACTGACACTCTTCTAAAAATTTTCAAGTCTTGGTGAATCTTGCAAATTTTTTGTTTGAGAATATATCATTGAATTGATCTTTATACTGTATATTTTACCTTTATAGCATTTTTGGAGCTGTATCAATATACAAACAAAACAATCAAGCTTTCTCTGAAATATGTTTATCATCAAGAGACAAAGTACAAAAGCACTCCAGAGTTTATTGCTGCCAGGTAATCTTTTATAAAATAATTTATTGTTACAGTATTACTGGTACAGTAAATATTGGTAAATTCATAATTGATAAAATTTGGTTGATTAGGATAGGAGAGATTACCCTTTCTAAAATTGGAACGTTTTAGGTTAGAACTGTAGAATGTCTTTTCTTTCTTGGGGAAATATAATCCTCTGTACATATATGTATAACATAATTTCTTTTTAAAAAACTCAAATGCATTTAGAATATATTTTGTGTTTGAAGAGGGTAAGTTTGAATAGACCTTGGAAAAATATTCATAAATACAGGGCCTAAAATAAAATATTGTTTGTTTGCAGTTGCCTACCGACCCACTGAAAATGCACCTGACCCAAATTTTTTTTAGCCATTTTGTATAATATTTTTTTTCTTCACACAGGAAGAAACGAGACCTTTCAGTTAAAACTGAAAGGCGGCTTTCAGTGACTTTTCAGTTGCCATTCAGCCACTGAATGGCAGGTACATTTCAGTGACCTTTCAGTTGCCTTTCAGTCTTATTTCAGATACCTTTCAGTCACCATTCAGCGGACACATTTCAGTTATCTTTCAGTGACCTTTTCGTCAACTTTCAGTGACCTTTCAGTCGACTTTCAGTGACCTTTCCATTGTCTTTCAGTGACCTTTCCGTCGTCTTTCAGTTACCTTTCCGTTATCTTTTAGTACACATTTTAGTATCGATTCAGCGATTTTTTTCACTGGCTTATTAATTTATAATCAGTAGTTTTTCCTTAAAAATATCTTGCATAAATTTATTATCCAATCTTAACTGTGTGTTTGTTTCATTAACGTAACAAAGGTACCTAAAACTTGTAATAACAGTTAGATGTTCAGTTGTATTTCAAGTGTTTACCAAATGTTAAAAGACATATATGGCATATTTTTTATACGTTCGGACTAACTAAAATAAAAAGGATCTTTCTATTTCTTTTGATACTTTAAATAATGAAAAGACTCTTGTAAATTATACAATTTAAATCAATCGCGTTTCATAGATATCCAAGATTTGAAATAATAACCGATTTATTTCCGACTCGGAATTAAATATCACACACAGTTTAAAGTCAATTTAACCATAGAAACGAGGGGATATTTAAGGTCAAATTCAGCGAAAATTTTGATTTGAACGTATAAATATAGCAAATATCCTGTAAATCTACACTTGATCTTGTATTTTTGTTTTTTAGATCAGATATGTCGTATACTCCCTGGTATAACTTTAAATTGCGATTACAGACTTTAAAAATATGTCTTAACAATTATTTATTTATATGTTACAAAAAAAATGATAACAATTCAACTGAACTCGTAAGATTCAAAAAGTGATGACTCATAAAATTCAAAATGATATTCAATTTTCCAATTAGATTTAAGAAACAAAAAAAATTCTTCAAGTGATAAAAAAATAATGAATCAGATCCGATTCTCGAAGCAAAATTCAGTAAAATGTCATATGAGTTTGTCTATTTTTTTTCTTTCTGTAAATCTCTAATTCTATGATAAACATTTATTTAATAGCTATTGAATTAATTAGAAATCAATCTGAATTAAAATTGGAGGCTATCGATCATAATGCGATCTTAATATAAACAAAAAAAATGTTTTCTTATTTTTACAGCTTTAATATAGATTTCATTATTCCTATATCAATCTAATACATTCTACAGTTATTATATTTTTAGGTCACCTGAGTAAACTCAGGTGACCTATTGCTATCCGTTTTCGTCCGTCGTCGTGCGTCGTGCGTCGTGCGTCGTCCGTTAACATTTGAACATTTTCAGCTTCTTCTCTGCAACCACTGAACCAATTTCAACCAAATTTGGCACAAAGCATCTATGGGTGAAGGGGAACAAAAATTGTGAATTTCATGATCCCTGCCCCCCTGGGGCCTGAGGGGTGGGGCCAAAACCACTAAAATTAATGCAATCTTTAAAAATCTTCTTCTTTACTCCTGGACATCAAGCAGTCAAACTGTTTGCATGATTGTAATCAGCAATGAGTCCTCTACCAAAATTGTGAAATTCATGGCCCTGGGGTCAGGGGTTCTAGTGCTAGGGCGGGGCTAAATAAGTAGGTAGTGAAAATGCATTATTTCTTTGAAAATCTTCTTCTCTGCTCCTGGGTATTAAATAAACCAACTAAGTACATAATTATGATGAGCAAGAGTGCCTCTACCAAAATTGTGAATTTTATGGCCCCAGGGTCAGGGGTTCTGGTGTTAGGGCGGGGCTCTATTGATTATATAGTGAAAATACATGAATTCTTTGAAAATCTTCTTCTCTGCTCCTGGGTATTAAATAAACTAACTAAGTACATAGTTATGATGAGCAAGAGTGCCTCTACCAAAATTGTGAATTTTATGGCCCCAGGGTCAGGGGTTCTGGTGTTAGGGCGGGGCTCTATTGATTATATAGTGAAAATACATGAATTCTTTGAAAATCTTCTTCTCTGCTCCTGGGTATTAAATAAACTAACTAAGTACATAGTTATGATGAGCAAGAGTGCCTCTACCAAAATTGTGAATTTTATGGCCCCAGGGTCAGGGGTTCTGGTGTTAGGGCGGGGCTCTATTGATTATATAGTGAAAATACATGAATTCTTTGAAAATCTTCTTCTCTGCTCCTGGGTATTAAATAAACTAACTAAGTACATAGTTATGATGAACAAGAGTGCCTCTACCAAAATTGTGAATTTTATGGCCCCAGGGTCAGGGGTTCTTGTTTTAGGGTGGAGCTCTAATGATTATATAGTGAAATGCATTAATTCTTTGAACATCTTATCCTTTGCTCCTGGTTAATATACTAATGATCTAATTACATATTATAGGCCAGGATTTATTTTATTTTCAGTTTTACAAACCCTCCACTCAAGGTTTTGAATTTTCAGAAAAAAATAAAAACAATTTTTTTCTTTCCGATGTCAAATTTGAGTCGGGATCGAGATTTCAAGTTTACAAACTCGCACTTCCGGTTTTAAGATGAAACGGCGGGTAAATAAAGCTAATCTGAGAAGAAGCTTGGTTTGGTGTAAAATTCATCGATACTAGTGCCATTCAAAACGTTTCACCCGTTCAAAGGACAAATAAAATGCTGACGACTTTGTTGCACAATGACATGCTGGTGAGATAATTATGTATTCGTTTCAAAAGTATCTGTCTGTAAATTATTTTCCTCCCCAAGGTTTTAAACTGCCCGTGGTATCTTTTGCATATTGCCAGCGACATTGTTTAGGTCTCTGTTATAGCTTACAGTCTAAGCATCATTCTTCAGAAAAGGGTTGCTTATGCATCAGATGTAATGAATAAAACTATGGGAGAAGTTAAGTCCATTTGAGGAAAAATTTTAGGCATCAAGTAAATTTTAGAACAATGTCTACACATTCACCTAACAAAGATTAAAAAAATGAAGACATTTTGAAAGACTTTTAAAGAATTGATTTATTAAAATATATTTTGACCAACATCGCAAAATTTATATAACTTGCCCAAACTGGCAGATGATGAAATAAGCAATTAAATGTTCTACTTTCCTATTTGTAAGCATTATTTGTAAGCATTATGTGTCCAGTGGTAAGGAGCCTATTAGAATAGCATAAAAAAAGAATGTACAAATGTTAATAATTGATTTATCAAAAAAAAAAAAAATTAATTTCCTTCTCCTTCAGGACTTTTTTATTCTCATGTTCATAACTAAACCTAAACAAAAAAAGATGCTGGCCTTATAATGAAGAAAGGGGCCTCTTTCAAAATAGATAATTTCAGGGCCGCTTGGTCAGGGGTACCAGGGGGGTACTTTGACTAAAAATAGATTAATGCTTTGAAATCTGCCCTTTAATAAGCAATGGTGCCTCTTCAATATTTGTGAATTTCATGGCTTTTGGATTAAAACATGAACCAAATACAATCACTGGAAAGTTGTTACATGATACTCAGGTGACCTATAAGGCCCGTGGGCCTCTTGTTCATGGAAATATATAATATTGAACGATGAGACAGAATTGATATTTTTGATATTATTAATACCTTTTCTGGAAGAACCTTGATGTTATAAATTCTGTTTCTTAATTGTCAAAACCGCAGGATATTTCACCTTTTGAGAGACATCATTATACATTTTACAGGAATAGAATAAATCATTTATGTATGCCTATTGTGGAAGAAACTTAATTTTGCAGATTATAGCTTTTTAAATGATACTGTTTAAAATAAAATATTTTGATAAATTTCTAGATAGAGAATTTAAAGCGATCTCCGAGGAGAAGATTTCTTTGACAAGAACAGGTGCCCGTCGCCGATAATTGTCATCATCCCGATAAGAGGTGTGTAATTAATCAGTATGTCCCCAAAATCCTCACAATTAACGTAGAATATACAAAATATATACAAGATATATACACATCGCAACTCCTCGATACGACAGGTGAACCGCGTTCCATTTCGATTTCTTCAAATTGATTGATTTTAATTTCCTTCCTTTCAACAAGAACTCGTAGCTCAATTGATATGGTAACGGACTGACACGCTGGGGACCAGGGTTCGATTCTGGTATTGGGAATAATTTTTTTTTCTGGCATTAATTTTTTCTTCATTTTTTATTCGAAAATATATAAACTAAATGCTATTAAATCAGGAAAAAGTGAAATTAAATTTTTTAAGTTAAAAAATAAGCTGATTATTTAATAAAAAGATGCAACTGAATGATAACTGAAAGGTCACTGAAATGTACCTGCCATTCAGTCGAATGGTAACGGAATGGTCACGGAAAAGTCACGGGAAAGGATCTTTTCAGTGACCTTTCAGTGACCATTCAGTGGGCATTCAGTTACCATTCCGTCGACTGAATGGTGTAATTTCATCTTGTGTCATTTTTTAGGATATTGAAACTGTTTCATTTTCAATTTTGGTTTTTATCAATCAGTAGTTCATACCAAGAGTGGAGCTTATTCGTGTATAGTAGGCCTATGAAAAGCTCTATTTAATGTTTTCTAACAAAAATCTGAAAAAAATTTTTTTTTTTCAAAAAAAAATGAATGCCTACCTACCTACCCAGTCAAAAAATTATAGGTTGGCAACTGCAAACAAAGAATTTTTTAATCTTGGCCCAGTTGAGTACACTAATATTCAGCTTCAATGTACATGTAATTGTTTTTTATTTTTTGGCTTATGAACATAACAAACATGTACAATGTATATTATATTATATTTTAGTGTGATCTGTTCCATCATTGGCTTTCTATTATTGCTGGGCACCCTTTACGACATGTTTATAAATCAAGATGTGGACTCCTCGGAAATCGGAGATGTGAGAATTAATAAACAGGACAGTGATGCACAGTCCGTTAATTCTGACACCACTCATCTGATGTCGGATGGAACTCGAGTATCTGTCTTGTCATTCAGAAATAAGATCTTGCACAACAGTACGTTTTCCATTTGATATACCTGTGCAGAGTGTGAAAATTTGCAGACTCAACTCTTATTATGCATGATACATATACTATATGTTTATTTTGTAGGTAAACTAAGGAAGTTTTTACTGACTTTTTCAATCAGCACTAATGGCAGTAAGGTTCTCAACACTGATGCCCTCCCTCCTACCGCGGTGCCCGCTCTCAATGGGGTGAGGGTCCTGAGTATGGGCTGGGTCATTCTGGGCCACACCTATTTCTTCACACTGGGCAGTGCAAGTATGTTTGTACCTAAGATTACCTGTTTGCTTTTCAGAGCTCTCGATTCTCTCAAACTGGGGCCGATATTCGGCCCCGTTCCCAATGAAAAAAAGGTATCTTTTTTCCCAAAAGAAAGGTGTAAATTTCCCAATTTTATAGCAAAATATAGTTAAAAAATAAAAGTTCATGACTTTCACTCAGAAAGACAAATAACGGCAATATCAACACTCAAAGATAGTTATGACAAAGCTAATGTACTTTCATAAATAGCCTACGTAACCCATGTTTGTTCTGTTTAACTATTTATTCAAAACCAGAGTTAAATTGATGACAAAATGCTAGAAAAGTGAAATTTGAGGATTTTTTTTAATGAATGTTGGTCATCCAAATTTTCCCAAAATGACAATAATTTTCCCAATTTGAAAGGCCCCAGTCCCAAAAAGTGGTGTGAGTGCCCTGGCTTTTGCTGTCATTTCACATCCTTGTATTAATAGCTAGGCCTAAATTGTCTTTTACTTTTGAGCTATTAATGAGAATACAAGTCCTGTATTGGTAATTTGTAGAATGTCAGTCAGCTTCATAGTGGAAGATTTAAAAATTGTTGAAGTTTTACATATTCTATGGCTTGTTTGATATGACATGCACAACAAAGCTGATAATAATTTAAGATTTACAATGTATAAAAATGATGTAAAAATTAATAAAATATAGATTTTATTTAAAGTGTAGCACTTAACAGTTGTGAAAGCCTGGAGAATTTAAGATGTTAAATTTTGTTAAATTCCCCTCTTATTTAACACTTTCTCTACAGAAAATGCAGCTGTAGCTCTGAATTGGTTACAAAGATGGACTTTCCAGATCATCATCAATGGAATCTATTCTGTGGATTCATTCTTTCTGCTCAGGTATTTCAACAGCAATCAAGCCTTGGAATATCATTATGCCCAGCCATGAATATGGCTGGGGCATATAGTGTTAATTGTCATGTCCGTCCTTCCGTCCTTCTGTCACACTTTGCCTTTAGCTCAATTCAAAATATTATGATCAAACTTCATATACTGATACATACTGATGAGAGCTTTTCAACGGCATCAAAAATTTTTACCTCTCCTTTGACCTTGACCATACTTTTCCTAAATTAGTGTCAAACTTAATATGCTAATATATACTGATGTAGGCAATTCAACTACATCAACATTTTTGACGTTGACCTCACTATTAGCATATTGTGTTTATGTCAGTTTTAAAGAAACCATTCATAATATTTTTTTTTCAACTTCATATGCTGATACATAATGATGAGAGCTTTTCAACTCCTTCAACAGTTTTTGACCTTGGGGTTTCTTTGACCTTTGACCTCACTTTTACTAAATTAGTGTCAAACTTCATATGCTGATACATAATGATGTAAGGAAATCAACTGTGTTAACATTTTCGACCTTGGTCTTTCATTTGACCTTGACCTCAATTTTATCAAATTGTGTTTAAGTCAATTTAAAGAAACCATTCATAATATTTTTTTCAACTTTATATCTGATACATACTGATATTAGCAATTCATTAATATTTTTTGAAAATATGGCCTTTTCTTTTATACCTCATTTTCATGTTGCAATACATGTATACTAATATACCCTTGGTGGTGCATTCATGTCCTATGCAATTCATTTCATTCACTTTTCAAAATATATCTGTCATCAAAATATATATAATTTTCATGTAAACATGTATGTTTAATTACCCTTGGCGGTGCATATATGCTAGCCTTTTTCTAGGTCCACAATGTTTTTTATATGTGTGAACATAAAAGGTATATATAATTTATGTAAAACATGTATGTTTAATTGAGGCTTGAATATATGCTAGCCTTTTAAGGGGCACAACTGCCCTGTAACTGTGTGAACATAAAATTCTGCATAATACATGTTGTTGGTCCATGGTTTCATTGACTTGATGGAAATAATTCTATTTTCAGTGGTTTGTTAGTGAGTTATTTGACCCTCAAAGAGTTACAGAAAAGAGACGGAAAGCTGAACTGGTTACTATTCTACTTCCATAGATTCTGGAGGTGAGGATATAGCCATGTTAATTATTTTACAAGGACAATTATATTTCTTTTTCAACTCTTTAAGGTCAGATGACATGTTCCTCAATAAGATATAATTTTTCCTAATAATTTGTCATTGAAGTATTTTTACTATAACAAGTTTCCTCACAAAAAATTGAGGCACCTTACCAGGTGTTTGTGGAAGGTAACGGAGGATGGTCTTTCCTATATATAATACATTGTATTCTTTAGAAAATAACTTGAATTATATATATCACAATTTTATGCCCCGCCATGAAAATTGCCTGGGCATATAGTGTTTGTCATGTCCGCCTTCCATCCTTAAGTCTGTCCTTCCGTCACACTTTACATTTAGCTTAGTTTTCAACCAGTTTAGAAAACATTGTGGACACTAGTTAGAGTAAATATATCAACATAAAACATAGAAATATCTACATGGGGAAACAATGAAAAACATCATTAGAGAAGTTAATTAAAGTTGCTAAATGTTCATTTTGGAAAAAAAAGAACTATATAAACTTTTGAATGTCAACTTCAAAGAACATAGAGCGCAAAGAACTTTATTCAGTAGTAACCAATATTTGTTTTGATGGATTATTTAATTATGTTTCAAAACAGGGGGATACATGCTGACTTCAAAGCACTGAATGTTTTCATCAGCAATGACGTCATATGTTTGAAATGATGTCAGGAAAATGACGTAAAAAAATTTCCATGACTTCTAAAAAAATGTAAAAATTGCCACACTCTGATATAATGTGTAAAAATAATATCAATTAAATATGAACTATATAAACTTTTGAATTTGTCCATTTTGTCCTTTTTCTAAAAAATAAAGCAAAATCCGAGTAGTTTGTGATGTCATAAATACAAAAAATTGTCAATAACCTACTTTGAAACTATAATATGTTTTGTTAATTTATATTTTTCATACAATTTATACAATTCAACACATTTTTCAAAATTTGAAAAAGTTAAGGATAAAAATAGAAAAAGTTACGGATAAACTATTTGCTGAATTTAATTATTAACTTCTACATCAATTATTAAATAATAATAAATCTGTGAGTGTCTGGAACAAAGACATGTCAAAATTATGCAAAATGTTAACGTAACAGAAGAGATATAAAACATTTAATCTTCGATTGTAAAAATGTAAAACAAATATGGGATGCGACACGAATGATCAGCAATACAAATATTTGGTGGAAACATGCTGTAATCAGTAACTGTTTTGTTGAAAATTGAAATTCTTAACCCTTTGGTATCATAAGTATATATTTTATTCATAAAATTAAAATGAAATTAAGGTTTGATAATTGATAGATCAGAAACTGATGCTGAGATTAAAATATTTATTAAAAATAATTTATTATACCGTATATCCATTGTTTTCACATGTTGAAAATTTTGCGAAAAAGGGGTAGAGTTTGTACAGTTTAAGGGTAAGTTATTTTTTACGATCGAAGTTTTTTTATTAAAAAATGATTATGTTTTTATGTCACTTATTATAGCAGACATAATTTATGCATGTTTTATATTTTGCAAATTAAAAATGATTGCAGAAAAAGCGAAAATTAGATAATCACGAAAAATACCAGATAAATATATGACATTAATCATGAAATATACAGAAAAATAGAAAATAAATATGAAAGATTTTTATGAATTGTCTACAGTGTCTGTGATTGAGTACTATTTTTCTACTAAAGAATTACTTTAACTACAGGCCCTTAGTAAGCTGTCCTGCTGTAGAATTACCATAGGGGGTTGAGTATAGACTTTTGTTTTTGATAGTCATGTATGATATGAAACCTATAGCTATGGTAACTTAAATCCAAAATAAACTATATTTCTGTGTATGTATTACTATCTCTATTGCCTCTGATGCTATTGATTACTGATAAATGTATTGGAAAAATTGTAATATTGTACGTCTTTCATCCAAAGGTGACCAGCAGTTTTTTGCAGTTTTTTCAGTCACAGTGGGGATGGGGTGGGGTGGGGGGTGGGGGGATTGTGGACTTTATGCATTCGAGCCCCCTACGACTATTTCTTGTGAAATTGTTATATAGTACAATTCGTTCATTATCATACTCATAGTTTATGTATCTTGATGCTAAATACAAACGAAAATAAAGTATAAAATATGAGCTATCATCTATACCTATAGCAAATTTTTTTCTATTTTTCTTTTTATATATCCTTATGATCTAAACTTTGATATGATATAAAAAAAATATACCTGGTATGTACATTTAGATTTATCAATTTTTTTTTAATTATCTGATCCAGGATATATTTGTGAGGGCCTCTGAGGAGGCATCACCTCTGCTTTCATGTGTTAATGGATCATTGAATAAAAAAATAATAATAACTGATCTTATCTTAGCTGACTTTGTCAAAATTAACATTATCTTAAATTGATTTCCTGAAAAATTTGCATAAAAAAGAAAAAAAATTCACTATTACGTAGGTTGACCCCTGCCATGATGCTGGTTATCCTGGTGTACACGGCCTACTTCCAGTACTGGGGCTCGGGACCTCTCTGGCCCCTGACGTCACCCGACTACCAGAACTGTAAGGATTACTGGTGGAGGAATCTTCTGTATATCCAGAACTTCTTCTCAGTCAGTAAAGAGGTAAACTTGATTTAAGACGTGTGATAAATCTAAAATGCATTAGAGCTTATCTGAGGCACATGTGACCTGTTGCTGGATGGTATTATGTAAATATTGCATGACTGTAGTTGAGTGTTCCATTGAAAATTTTCACCCTGCGCCTTAGTTGACAATGGTTTTCTTGGTGCGCCTTAGTTGAGAATGGTTTTCTTGGGGTGAAATTTTTTAATGTTACACTCAACTACATGCAATATTTATTATATTATACTGAAAATTTTAACTTTGAACTGTGCGCACATAAATTCTGCGCAGTCACTGTTTTTTTAATAACACTCATCAAATATAATGTTTACTGTTGCGATGCTGGAAGGTGTGGCTTAAATCATTATTCTGTGGGTACATGTAATATTGTTTTCAAAAAAAAAAAAATTCCCGACGAATCATATTTAATTATCTAATAATAATCTAATAAATAACTAATTTACATGAAAGTATAATATAAAGTATAGTGGTAATATGCTATGATATTTTGGCTGGGCCAAATTCAAATTCTGTACACAGTTGTTTCTCTTCATGCTGTCTATCTGATCTTTCTAATGTTAGTAAAAATTAATGAAAATGTATTCCATTATTTAATTCTACTGGGGTATATATTTACATTTGCAAATATTTTTCTTAGATGAACCCTTTGAAGAGAAAACATGTTCAATTCTATATATTAAACTTATTTGGGGTCAGAGTTCATTGCGCGACTGAATCACTCGGTGAGATGAATATCTTGTTTACATAAATTTCTGTCTGGTTCTGGAACTACTGACTTAAAAGCAATGAAAAAGATGAAATAACTGAAACATATAGATATTTTTCATTCAACAGATGTACAATAGATCTTCCTTTGGTGTGAGGAATGATTTAAATACTATTATTAGCCTAAAATTGCACTTACCTTTTTAACCCAAAATTCCTTTGAAGTTGTGTAAACTAAAACAAGAGATATCACCACTTGTGAACATCATTGTAAATATTCAGATGTTGGAGCGAGATAAACTTTCAAGACCAAACAATTTCTAGGTCACATCATAACAATACGGTGGCCTATTTGTGTAATGAATGCAGTTTTACTTGGAATTTATTTGTCTCAAATGTATTAAATATAAGTCATAAACAACAATGTTAAAAAGTTCACTGGGAAATGAACTTAGTTGTTTTTTTATCAAATCTACTGAGAAGCACTTTGGGCTTCACAGGATTTGATCATGTGACCAACTTAGTTCATTTCCCAGAGAACCTTTTGACATTGTTGTTTATTTCTTAAATAATCAATATTTTATAAATTCTTCTTACTGTACATAAAAAAATATAGATTCTACAATAATTGCTTTAAAGAAAATGATCGCATATTTGCTATTTTTTTCTTATTTTTCAGTGCATGGGTTGGGGTTGGTACCTTGCAAATGACATGCAGTTTTTTGTACTTTCACCTTTTATAATATATCCTTTGTACAGGTATGTGTTATGTTGACAACTGTTATTTTTCTCATGAACTGTATATCACTTTTACTAAAGACATATACACTTTATTTTCAAAGTTATTTTTTTTTTATTCAGGAAACCTTTGATAGGATACATATTAATACTGGCTCTTATGGTGATGCAGTTGGTTTACAGGGGAATAATGTCAGTACAGCTGGATATGACCTTGAATGGAGCACCTGAGTAAGTTTAATGCTGACAACATACTGTGTAGTAAAGTTTAATATATTGGTTTACATATGTAATGGCAGCTGTTTGTCAAATAGGATATTTATAGTCACTCTTTTTTTTTTTTTGCATATAATTTGTTAAGGTTAGAGGTTCATATTCTTGCTTTTCCTTCCACTCTTTACGTCTGCCCATGTGACGCAGTGGTTAGAGTGTCTGCTCTAGAGTCGCAAAGTAAGGAGTTGATCCTTAAGTTGCGGGTTCGAATCCCACTGTGGGACATGGAGACCGGTCATTTGGATGAGACCATATTAACCGAGGCCTCATGTCACAGTAGGTGCTGGCACGAAAAAGATCCCTTCCTGCTCAATGCCCTAAGTGCTGAGTATAAGACAAAATTTGCAGCTATCCACCGGCAAGTGGTGGCATCTCCATATGAGTGAAAAAGTCTCGAGAGGGATGTTAAACAGTATACAATCAATCAATCAACCTTCCACTCTTTACAAAATTTCTAATATATTATTGTCTTAGTTGGTAATTAAGAGAAAATAGATGTAAATTAAAATAAACTTGATCAATGATAGATTTTCAAAAAAAAAAATATTGCATCACTCAAATTATTCCAAATCATGTACCGGCCGGGTATATTACTTGCATAGTGAGTAATGTAATTCCTTAATGTGATGCTTGAGTTTCTGATTGATTATCTGTATCGGAATTCCAATGGTTACTTATTGTGCTCCGTTATTAGCATATTCATATGAATCCAAATTAATTTTAAAAAACACATCTTATGTTGCCTACAAATTTCTTTCCTTCACAGCCAGGAAGAGTTCTTTGACAAGATGTACCAGAGGCCGTATGCCAGAATAGCCCCGTACGTTATTGGGGTTCTAACAGGATACTTCATGTGGAAATCTGAGAGACGAGTCAAGCTGCCAAAAGTAAGTATTAATGTCAATAATGAACATCTACAGAATTACAACAAGATGTCCCCAAATGACAGCTTATGGCAAGGGTTGAATTCTCTCAAATGCATGTCAAACTCCAAAGTTCAAGGTCAAAAGTGTTGGTACCCAAAGGAAGGTCTTGTTACAAGGAAAACACCTGAGAAATAAGAAAACCCGAGTTCTAACTGTTAAAAAGTTATGACCAAGGTAGAAGTTTTTAAAAAGTGGATCAAACTTTTAGGTTTAGGTCAAGGTCAAAATATTTATACAAGCTGAAAGGTCTTGTCACAATAAATGCATATGTGAAGTATGAAAGCCCTACCTTTAAATGTTCAAAAGTTTCCGCCAAGGTTAAAGTGTAATATTTTTTGTAAAAGTAGGTCAAACTCGAAGGTCAAAAGGTCAAATTTAGTGGAACTCAAAGAAAGATCTTGTCACAAGGAATATACCTGTGAAATATGAAAGCCATAGCTCCACCCACTGAATAGTTATGGCTTCATTAAAATTGACAACGGACAGACAGAAAAACACATAGACTGTCAGCTAGACAGACAAACAGACAGGACAAAAACAAGGTTCCCATGAGATCTTTCGATTTGGGGGCATAAAAAGAGCAGTTTGTTATTATGCTAGTTTTTTAGATGCTGATAATTGAAAATAGGACAAAGTTTTATTACTACTTGCTCCTCAGAGTAGGATGTTTTGAAAAAATTATATAGCCATCATCCTTTCTTGTAATTAAAATAAATAAGCATACTGGTCCTGTAATATTTGAAAGAGAATGAAGCAAAATGAATAAAAAGAATGCATTTTCAAAAACTTAAAAAAAAAAAAAAAAAAAACTTACAGCTTTGTTTAACTGTCAGACTGATTTTCAACAGATACATGTATGTTGCTGCAAGTGTAAATTTTTTTTTAAGGAAATGGATTGATTTCTGCTTAGCTGCATGTATATGCTTCAGAAAACACATTTTTTATATTTAGCTTTATATTTAACCAGGTGATTGTGGTGTTGGGATGGATTATTGCCCTTGTTTGTGTGTCCTCTGTGGTGTTTGGGACCACTGAACAGTACAGGGGCCATAAGTCCTCCACAGCAGTTACTGCCCTTTACAACTCTTTGTCCAAAACAACATGGAGCTTGGGTTTAGCATGGATCATATTTGCATGTAGTATAGGATATGGAGGTAAAAAAAAGACTACATTGTAAAGAAATGATATTAAAAATATTTAAAGTTGTTGTTGCACTGCTTTTGTATTAAATGAACAAAAATATTGTACCTTGGAATAGGTATTTGAATTTCACCTGATGTTTCAAGTCAAAGGCCTTATTGAGTGTTTTAATTATTCTAGTAGAAGAGTGCCTTTAAAATGATGATTATCCCTCTGTTTTTCCAATGTTGTTAATTTCTGTAAACTTTTTACACTATACTGTATACCGAGAAATTATCGCCCCTTTTGCCCTTGTCACAATTAAATTTTATAAACAGAACTGTGTGACTGGGAGAACTTAAAATGGGACAAAACTGTTAATAAGTGTAAGGGCCAAAATAACACAGGGCCAAAATAACCCTGTATACAGTATTTGTTTTCTTGTCCAGATGCACTGAGCCAACTGTAACTACTATTGTATTTTATGCAAGAAATCAGTCAATATATGGACACCATCTGGATAATTAATTAGTATACTTAGTAATTTTATGTCAAAAGTGTGTCAAGATTTACAATGTCTGGTGCATGTTTAATGGACACATTGTAACATTTGACCCTGTAGGTTTTATCAACACTTTCCTGTCGGCCCGTCTGTGGTCTCCCCTCAGTCGCCTGACCTACTGTGCCTACCTGGTTCACCCTGTCATCATGTTTGTCTACACTTACAGCCACAGATACACTATGTACTACTCTGACATCAATATTGTGAGTACAATTTTTACTTGACACTCAAAGTCAATAAAATGGTGCAATTCAATATTTTTTTTCTTTAAAATTCGACTTTTGATTATCAGTATGCTAATAACATTATCGAATAATTCAAAATCTCAAGTTTGTATTCCCAAAGTTTTTTTAAGTTATGTTTCGGGGTTAAAAAACTACAGCAGTTTGAAGTAGAGGTGTATTAGTGAACAATATTTGCTGAGAAACGTACGTTACGTCTTATGCACCAGTTTTCATTGAAAATTTTAGGTTGAATAAAGTATAGATCGTAAGAAATTTTCAATGACAAAAGCAAATCAGTATATGTACTTTCGTGATAAGACAAAGTATTTTAACTGTCACTACGTCTTTTATGAATTGATGCAGTTTTAATGTTGTCCTATTTTTTTTTCTCAAAATAAATATAACATATTATTAAGTTGTAAGATTTGGAAATACGCCACAAGAAATATGACAACTATCCAGTATAAATATTGGTTCAAAAAAAAAAGATAGCTAGTCTAGAGAAACTTTATACATATAATTTTGTTCTTAAATTGTGAATTACCGTAAATCTGGAAATTTTTACTGTAGATAAATTTTTAGCAAATTTGCGCGTGCATTGAATTCGCAAAAATATTTTTCTTAAAAATAAATCAACATGCGAAGAATTTTTTTCTGAGAACTCTTTTTTTTAATTTTTTAACTCAGTGAATAGGTGTCGGTTAGCACTGGTCATTTTTAAAAGAAACCTGTTTACACTAGTCTACTATAACTACAAGTTAATTACCCGTGCGTAAATTGCCCTCATTATATGCAATATCGTCCGATGATTTGACAAGCACTGAGGCGGTATGCCCCTTTTTAATTATTAATCAATCAATTTGCCAATAAAGAGAGAACTGTCATTTTATCTAACCGTGTATCAACACGGGCGATAACTCAAACTCAGTGCATTTACTAGAAAGTTCCAAATGTAAACGCGGCGTGTAAATTTTAGGTGAGAAAAACCAAACGTTGAGAAAATTAGTTATATTTTTTCTTCATTTGGATTATACTTTAGGTTAAAAGGCATACACAACCTCTAAAATGTTTGTTATAATTGACTTAGAAATTATTTTCAGTGCAAATCCTTTTGTAGTTTTTTCAAAATTGTTTCGGAGCGATTTTGCAATATCTTGCCACGTTGTGAGTATATTGGTGGTATTCTAAATGGGCATATTATTTGAAACATAACCTGATATGAAAATCTTCATGATTTTTATTTTTAGCACCAGTGACAATTCGCAAAAATTTGAAGCGTAAAAATTAATCAACAGCTTTTTGACCCATATTCGCAAAAATAAATCGACGTAAAAATTTCCAGATTTACGGTAGTTCTTATTTACACTTTCAAGTATATTACCATTCAAATGTAACGAATGTTTCACTAGAATTTATAAAATTTTATAGATTAAATTGAGTAAATTGGGTCTTTTTGTGAAATGCAATCCTAGTTCTGATTGTGTCGTACTATTGATAATATGAAAATAAAACATTATTTTGAGCAGCGTCATGTATCTTCTTTTCACATTTTCTTGAAATGAAATATACTTTTCTAACAAAAAAGAAATTAATGTAGAATTGCCTGTGTAGACCTTTTTATTAGAACTGCAAACAATTTAAAGAACAGTTTTGCTAAAGACATTTATCCTAAAATCATTTCAACATCAAATTAAAACTCCAATAAGCAGTACACGTGTGTATTTTAAGGGTCATGTATGTTTTACGTAACATAACGTATGTTTCGTATCTTGAAAGAACTCAACAAAAGATATATAATATCATCCTGACTAAATTGCAGAAAACAAACAGTTCAAATATGAAACACAAGCTAAATTCAAATCAGCTATTGTTCCAATTAAATGAAAGTTCAACAGGATTTATAACAATAGTAACGCATGTTACACTTTTCTGAAGGGCGATAACTCTACTGTGTTAAAAGCTTATCAACATTGTTTCGATCTTCAATGTCCATTTTGTACATCCTCTTAGATTTTCCGCATGGTTTTAGGGGGCTTATTTGGCAAACGATGTCGGACGGATTGACCCATATCTTATCTTCTGTTCTCGGCCACTGGAAGAAATTTTTCTTCTGCTCCATGAAACTGATCTCAATTTCTTCATCACTTTCATCAATTGACATGATTTGTCCGACATACCATTTCCCTTCATACATAGCAACGACAAAAGTGCCAACTTCGTATTGTTGGGGAAGTGCAATAGAGTCAGCCACATCAGTTGTTGTAGTACTATTTATTGTTTCCAACGATGGCATGTGATTATTAAGTGTGTCACTGTTTGCGCTGACTGTGGGTTCTTCTCTTCTTTGATCATCATATGCTGACATAATTGACCAGTTTTCACAATGAAGGTGCTTTAAGCAACTTTCGCAGTAACAAGAGGTCTGGGAAGTGACCAGCAAGTTCATGTCTCTCTTGCAAGCATGGAGATTCATTGTTCCCTTTACAGGTTTGAGTTTGCATCTCTTTGTTTCGTCAAATATTTTCTCACAGTCTTCTTTTCTGACGAAGAAAAAATGAACTCCTTTCATGCTTGATTGTTTTGCCCATGTCATAAATTCTTCTGGATCCTGTATTGAAACCCTAGATGAGTTGACAGCTTCATCAGCCATTCTCTTTACAGTACCGCCGACCCCATCACAAGGTCCCTTGCCGTGGCCGGCTTCAAAATAGTTCCAGGTCGCATTTGATCTTTTGATCCATACTTCTCTTTGTGAGTTAGAATTGCCTCAGAAATATACCTGTTTCTGTACTGGCTTGATGGAGAATCTGTCCAGTAATGAACATGCTCAACACCAGCACACTCGTCAAGATTCAAACCGTAAAAAGCATCAAGGATAGCTAACACAGTAGAAGAAGAGTGTTGCATGCAGTCTGAGACAGCAACATAGCTACGATGAGCTAAGCGTTTGGTCATTGGATCCTTGAAATACACCACAATAGGGTGTAGTGTGACCTGACTCTGGTTCCAATATGCGCTCTGTATTTCATCTGCCGTTTTACAGCTATAATTTTCCGCAAAGTCCGTATGAAGAAGAATTTCCTTCTCTGGTAGGTTTTCTTTAAGTTGACGAAGCTGTGCATATTGTGTTTTAATTTTGAATACACGTTCTTTGAAATCATTCTCTTCCTTTTCCCATAATATGGGAAAATCAACAAGTTTCATTGTCTCTTGCACAATTTTCATCTTCTTCTTTCCATTTTCAAGCTGCAATCTTTTCCACAACGAAAATGTGACTTCTTCTGGGAGCTTACCTGTATCCACTGCTACATTTTTACGAACATACTCCTCAGGGTTTGTGGATACCTCCATTCCTTCTTTTTTCAGCATCTTCAGCTTAAATACAAAATTTTGATGCTTTGTGCAAAACAAGTGTTTCTGCTGAGAAATGTTGTAGGGAGAATATATTTCGGTCTAGCTCTCCTAAAAGTAGACAAGGAAACTGCGATTTCTGGTTTTTCTGATCTGTATTTGAGGTACAGATTATCAAGATAATCTGTCAATACTCTAGTTTGAAGACGCTCACTTCCACATTTCACTGCATCTTGCTTCCCCGGCTGACATCTGCTGTTATCCTCCCTTTCCAAAAATTGAATTATGTCTTCTCGATACTTAGCAAGTGTTCGCAATCGTCTTTGCTTTGTAAAGTCTACACCTCTCTTAATTGCTCTAGAAAGAACGTTTCTATGCAAACCTGTTGCTTTACTTAGCTTAGAAATGCATCTATACTTTTTAAGAAGATTGCCAACAACTCGTCCATACACAATCTTCTTCTTGCCAGCTTTTTTATCTTTCATCTTTCTATTTACTTCATCTATAATAACATTGCTCATCAATAGTTGTTTTCGTACATTTTTTATCCTCCCATGTAAATGATGTAATCCATGCTCCTTCATCATTTTATCAGTTTTGCTCTTTGGAGTTGAAGGGGCCTGTTTGTTCTTCATTCTCTGCACTCGTCTTTGAATTGTCTTTACCTTTCTTTGTAGGTTGTCATTGTCTGATTTCATTTTTTTTATTTCCCTATGGGCTTTCGACAAAGCTTTACTAAGACGTATCTTTGGTCCATTTCTCTTTGCAGATATGATGGGCAGTCTAACTTGCAATAATGCTCTTTCATTACTAACACTAGCGCTCATACTTTCATATCCACTTGATTCGGGTAGAATTTCTATAGCATCATCTTCGTGTAAGGGTAGTTCCTGTCTTTCCTTCTTATTCGTCCTATGTCTCCGAACTCTTTCTCCTATTTTTTTGTTTCTTTTCTTTCGAGCAGAGGATGATAGTAAAGCTACTGGAATATAGTTTCTTCATTGTCTTTATCTCTCTTTTTCAAGATATTTCTCTCCTTCCTTTTCTTTCTTTCTTTGTCTGTAGTTCCTTTGAATTTCTGCTCGTGTCAAGGCCATTCAGGTTTTAAAACTATTTAAAACAAAATATTGAAACATACGTTACTTAGAATGAAATGTATGTTTAACACTATGAAAGGTAAGAAATAAACCCTTTATGGTATATTTAAAAACAAAAAACAAATCAAGCTTTAATTTACCTGGTATCATGATTCAAATAAAAAAAATCAACATTAAAACTATTTTTTCCTTTAGAATTAATTTGTATGTTTAACAGAACTTCCGCAGAAATGTATTGATTATGAAATATTTGAAATTTTGCTTTAAATATTACAGGCTAATTATAAAGTTTACATTTAAATAAGTTTATCATAAAAAAGTTTACTTAACAGTTTCAAAATTTACATATATAGTTTGAGAAAATTTTCGTAACATATGTTACCTTAAGGTAGGTCGCGGGTTTGCTTTTGTCATCAATTTTGGTACACAATTTTGACAATCCGAGCGATTGTTTTGTGCACATTTGATTATGACGTCAATGACGTCACAAAGGCGACGTTGCGTTGTTTCCCGTTTAATTATCTGAAAATG